AATGTGAACAAAACAACATAATATAAACTGTTATTGTAAAAACTGGATTGAACTAAGTGGCAGATCCAAGCTCTGGTCCAGGCTCTACCACAACTGGCTCATTTCCACAATTTCCTTGGGTCCCTACACAGTGAAATCGGACGAGACCACATTGAAGTAGAGGTGCTCCATGGTATACTTTCCATCACAAGTTGACTTAAAAGGGATTCATTCACCATTTTTTTAAAATCTGGGCTACATTTTGCTTGAAAAAAATATCACTGCTGGATGTCCAAAAGTCACTGGCATCAATTACCGTCTTTTTGTTTCTATTTTCAGGCATTTCATAACCTTATCTAAGCTAATCTATCTTTACCTTTTCATTCTACTCTTTCTCAACACAGACCTACAGTGAGATCAGAGTGTTCTACTCACTGTTTTTCAAAATGCCATGGCACAAAACACCAAGGGTCAGATCCTGAACTACGATAGATTTACCAACAGAATGCCCCCACTGAAACTATACGGGATACCTGGCTGCCCGATAAACCCCCTGTGTTGCACTATTTTCTTTTTAACACTTACACACACTTTTATTTATCTAAGGCCACTAAAGACAATTCACAGTTGACTCTAGAACATATGGGTCTTAGGGACACTAGCCCCTTTAAACTCCCTGCAGTCAAAAACCCACTTAGACTCCCCCAAAACTTAATTACTAATAGCCTACTGTTGACCAGAAGCCTTACTGATAACAGTCACATATTTTGTATATTGCACGTATTACATACTGTATTTTTATAACAAAGTAAGCTAGAGAAAAGAAAATGTTACGAAAAGCATAAGGAAGAGAAAATACATTTACAGTATTATATTTATTTTTTAAAAATCTGCACATAAGCGAACCTGCGGAGCTGAAACCTGTGTTGTAAAGGCTTTCTATGACCTGGTCTCTACATGCCTCCTCAACAGTTTCTGTTTGTATCCTAAGCTACAGCAGAAACAAATGTTCTAAGTACACACACATAAGGATAACATTCATCTGTAATTTAGTTTTCCCGGCTGAAGACACACATTAAAGCTTCCATCTCTGCTTGGAATAGTCTTCCTCTCCATGTTAAAAAGTCTAAATTTTAATTAATTCGGAAAGTTAGCAGAAACAACCCGTTTTTCATGAAGACTTTTCAAAGTACACTAGCAATTGTGGTGACTTAGGCAAGTAGCAAATTGCCCTCTGATCAGTTTATAAATTGTGTGCTTCACTTAGAGCAGTGGTTCGAAACCCTGGCTGCACATTAGAATCAGCTGGGAATCTTTAAAATCCTGATTCCTGGGCCTCATCCTCCGGAAATTCTGTGGGGTATTTTTTGTTTTTGTTTTTTGTTACTAATGTTGTGGCCTCACCTCATAACAAAGAAACAGAATTTCCGGAGGACGAGGCCCAGGAATCAGGATTTTAAAAAGATTCCCGGGTGATTCTAATGTGCAGCCAAGGTTGAGAACCACTGACTTAGAGTCATTAGAATCAATGGCATTTGGTACATTCCTTCTTTCAATAACTAGGTAATAATCAGGTATTAAACTCAGTTTCTCTATGCTAAAAGACTACATATGCTGTCAACATGTAATGTAATAAATGCTTTAAGTCTGGCCTATTATTTTGTATTTTAGCACTCTACCTTTCAGTGCCCAGGGATACAGCCTAGCTTACCTACACTCTCAATCTACAATATACACCTTTATTTATTAATTAAAAGTATTTCCTCTCATTAAGAGGACTAATTAATCTTTATTATTTGTATTAAGTAATTACCAAAATTATTTAAATCTGTTCCTCTGTTAAGGGCACCTGTTACTTACTCCCTGTATTATATTTGTGAGCTTTTGTTTTATCTTCCCTTCTACATTCTTTAAAGATATGACCCATATCTATTTCATCTTTGTACTTCCCCCAGGTTTTCAAACAGTGCCTTGTATACAGACGGCACTTTAAATATAAATTAAGGTTTTCTTTTCCACTTTCAGTGAAGGCTGGCTCTCCGCATTCTGCTGTAGCTTAGGATATTTTGTCTACAAAGTCTTCCTTGACCATCCCAGTCCACAGGTCACTCGTACTTTTGAAATCCCAAAAGAGCTGCCTATAAACCATTTAACTGCCACTAAAACTACTCAGCATTATCTTTCCATGTTTATATGTATTTTATAATCTTTTTATATTTCAGTATATTCCAACACTATCTAGGCACAGCATAGACAATCAATCTTTTAAAAAAAATGAATCAAGAGATTCATTAAGGGCCTAGCCGGTTTGGCTCAGTGGACAGAGCATTGGCCTGTGGACCAAAGGGTCCCAGGTTTGATTCCGATCAAAGGCACATGCCCGGGTTGCAGGCTTGATCCCCCAGTAGGGGGCGTGCAGGAGGCAGCCGATCAATGATTCTCTCTTATCATTGATGTTTCTATCTCTCTCTCCCTCTCCCTTTCTCTCTGAAATCAATAAAAATATACTTTAAAAAGAGAGAGACAGATTCATTAAGAAGAGTATATGCAAAACTGGCACCTAAAGAGAACAAAAGGTCTCATCCATGGCAATGAAAAACAAACTCCTATTGTTGAAGGGCCAAACGCTTTGACATACATAATAGTTACTAGTAAATTAAATTGTGTTAGAATTCTACAAGAGTCTCTGAATTTCATAAATCTTCCTTTCACTTTAGGGAGACATACGTGCAACCATATGCATTTACTGACAATACCAATGCAAGCAAATGACTTTAAACAAAAACAAATAACTGTATTAAACAGATAGGGATAACATTCTTTTGTAATTTAGTTAATTTCCCTGCTGAAGACATTTATATAGTTTGCAATATATATCATTTTACTGTATGCTAAGCCTCAGTGCTTCTATTCCTATTAGGTTCCCTCCTCCCTAATGGACTAAAAGCAGAAAAGCAACCTTTGAATCTTCACTTCTTTTGTATCCTTCCACAGTGAGGAACTATATTATAGCAGGCATTTTATAAATACTGCTAAAGGCACATCTTTATGTTAATTAGTGGGATATCACAGATTTGGTACACTTGAAAAAAAATATATATATAATCTCCAAATCTTACAATAGGAGAGTTGGTTCTCTAATTTCAATCAGAACACTCTAGAGCAGTGATTCTCAACCTTTTCATCCCATGGCAAACAAACTAATTACTGAAATTCTGCAGCAACCAAAAAATATACGATCTGACAAAAAAAAGGTATAATTTTGATTCAGTCACACTGGACAGCTATTGTTATGTTGGCTGTTGTATTTTTTAATTTGACAATCTAAGGGAAAAGAGGTCAGTGCCCCTGACTAGTCAGGTATTGCACGTTTTAAAAATTCTTGCGGCACATGGGTTAAAAATTGCTGCTCTTGACTCTTGCTACTCAAAGTGTGGTTCAAAGACCAGCAGCCCTGGTATCACCTGGGAGCCCTACTCGAGGCTTCCTAGATCAGAATCTGGTGATCTGTAAGCACTTCAAGGCTTGAGAAGCATTGCTTTAGACTCCAGGGGAAGAATGAAAATGTCCAAGATGCATATGACCAAGTAATGTTAACTACCACGTGATTGCTTATTTGTTAGCCTTCCTTGTCTGTTAACTGAGGCTTTCTGAGGGCAAGAACCCTTTCCTATCTTCCTCACCAATAGTATTCCCTGGGCTGACAAGCCCCGAAACATTATCCAGTGCTCAATAAAATCTCTTCTGTTGCTGGTTTTTTAAAAAAATCCTCACCTGAGGATATATTTTCATTGATTTTAGAGCGGGGAGGGAGGGAAGAAGGGGTGGAGGAAAAGAGGAAAGAGAGAGGGGGGAAGAAGGAGAGAGAGAGAGAGAGAGAGAGAGATGCTAGAGATGGGGAAATCCAACCAACAACCTAGGTATGTGCCCTGACTGGGAATGAACCTTCAGGAGGATGCTCCAACCAATTGAGCCACCTGGCCAGGGCTCAATAAATATTTTTTTTTTTTGCTGGATGCATGAATGACTGAACAACTGAAAATAAAACTTTTTCACAAAGCTAATCTTTTAGGAAATTATTTGTACAACATGATTTCACACACTACCATACTAATTATTTAATTCTGTATTATTAATTCCACTTTAAATGTTGCTTCTCGATGTCAACAGATGCATTGAATGAGTTCAACAAAGCAAAAGCTTGGATCATCTTCCTTTGTTGGAGCCACCAGGGACCTTTTTTTTACAAGTGAGATAGCTACATTTTAATTCTGCTCTCACAGATCCATCCCACAAGAATGCATAAGATGAAATCACCGCAAAACTTGGCGGGGTGGGGGGAATAGAGGAAGAATGGGTAACACAAAAACAATTCTGTATCAAAACATCATATAAAACCTGGAAAACATGATTTTTTAAAAACAGGATACTTCCAGGAAATAATTCCCGGCAAGGGAAAGAAGGAGGTAAGAGAACTCCTACCTTTCTCAAGAGCAAAAGGTGATACTAAATACTAGGGAGTGATAAAAGACCAGCGACTGCCTAGCGACGCAAGGTGGAAACACAGCAGACCAGAACTAACGCGGATAGCGGTTAGGCACGTCCAAGAAGGGTGACAAAAACCACTTTCAGGTTTAGAGAAGGAAATCAAGGGAAAGGATAGCTCTAGGACGGATACAACTGACGATGATGATGATTCATTATTATTAATAGTAATTATTATTATTGAGAGAGAGAGACGACATGCACTTGAAGGAAGGGGGTGGACGGAAGAAAGGGAGGTTGCGATTGCGCTCACTGTAAAAGGAAGCGACGACAGGCGTCCCTGCCCAGCTCGGACGGTCCCGGGGAGCCGGCCCAGGCATAGGTGGGCGGCAACGCCCGGCTTTGCGGCTCCTTCCCGGTGGCCTGAGCCATCGCCTCGGCAGCTGCCGAGCACCAGGTGGGGACAAGCAGCAGCAGACGGTGTGCGGGAGGGCGTGCGGGAAGCAGGGGAGGATGCCGGCTGCCCAGGTACCCACCTTATCCCAGCGGAGCCACTGCCCGATGGCCGTGTCTAGCTGAGGGTCCCCGGTGCGGTAGGGGGCGTGGAGCAGGTTGGAGTTCAGGTCGCCCCCTGCGTTCTCAGCCATGGCTGGCAGGCTGGAGTGCGCGGATCAGGGGGGCCGATGAAGACGCCTCGTTGGGGGAGCCGGAGGTGCGCTCACCAGGGTCCCAACGCCCCCTCCTCACTGAAGGGCATCGGAGACCAACGGCAGGATGTTTGCACCAGCTGCTGCCGCAGCTTTGAGACGCGGGAGGGAGGAGGCTGCGGCCGCCCGCGCTTCACCACACCAGCTCCCGGTCTTCCTCTGGGCGAATGGACAGAGGCGGTCGCGCCGGGAGAGAACAACAACAGTCCCCAAAGCCTGGGTTTTGGCC